AGATGGAGGAGAAGTTCATGATGGCCAACCCGTCCAAGATCTCCTACGAGCCCATCACCACCACGCTGCGGCGGAAGCAGGAGGACGTGTCGGCCGCCGTCATCCAGCGTTGCTACCGGAGACATCTCGTACGCCGCCAGATGAAAGCCGCCTCTTACCTCTACCGCCGGATCACCACGCCGCGACACGCGCCGGCCCGGGGCGACGGCGAGGCAACCGACGGCGAGGAGGAAGAGGAAGAGGCGCCCGAGAAGGAAGGCCTGATCGCCGCTATGATACGTGAGAACTACGGCTCCGGGTTGGTCGGATTGGAGCGCTCCGAGGTGTCCTCCACCTCGTCGCCGCCGTCCTACGGCAGCGTAACGCGAGCCACCGCCGCGGCATTTCCCCCCCAAGGCGGAGACGAGTGACGCGGGTGCGGTCCCGTAGGAGCAAGAAAACCAAATGGAGGACTATGTGGAAAAGTGAACGATGCGGCTGCGTGGGGCGCCATGGCTACTCGGGGGGGGGCACCCAAAAAGCATGACGATATCAATGTGGCGGGGCCCCATAAAGGCTTGGAACATCTTTACTCGCTTTCATGTTACTTCCTGCCCCCTGCTGATCGCCCGTCGAACTGCAGTAGCTTCTTCTCGGGCCCCCCAAACACTATATCACTCATGTATTTTATCGGCCGGGAGCTGCGTTCACGACGTTAGCGACGTAAGCTGCGCGAGTGTTAGCTTGCGAGTGAAGAGACGCGAGCTCAGCTTAGCAAAGGTTTTGTTAGGAAAAAGTAGAACTTTGTTGACAGTCTTTTCATAGCTGTACGATTATTACAACTATTTTTTATATTTTTTAGCGTAACTTGACAAGGGAAAACAAAAAAGCTTTGCAGCTTTTCCTCAGTGGAACTATGACACTTTCACAGAAGACGACAACAATAATCTTTTTTCTTTTTTTAATGTTTTTCTTCACGGTCATGACACGTTCACAAAAACTACCCTCAAACCTACAGCGTTTTTGCGATCTGCAGACGGCGGGATGCTAAGATATCACTCGCTCAGAAGGGAAAAGACGACGGTTGTCAAATGTCGACACGCCGACGTTACGTTTTGTCCTCGTCGCACGCTGTCATTGACAAAAGTACGTCCGACCGCCAACCAAAGTAGACGACAGACAAGAAGACGACAATCAGCAAAAACTTTCTACTGGCTCATCACCAACACAATTATTCTTAAAATAAGAGCTAGCTCGACTCATTTTTAGCCGCACATCCACTGAAAAAGGGAATTACTGTCTTGTCTTTTGGTCCGTTTGTTGACATGTCAGTTTGGTGACTGTACACAAAGTGAAAAGTTCCCTGATTGAAGTCTCCAAACAACCCACGAGTGCATTCGCACACACACACACACACACACACACACACACACACACACACACACACACACACACACACACACACATACACACACAAATTATGTAGTTTCTCCCAAAGAATCATTCACATCAATGTCATGTTTGTCTACTTCATAACTTAGTTATGACTTTGTTCCCAGCTTTATTGTTTAGTTTTCTACGAACACTCAGACACTTTTTTTTTTTTTGCACAGAGAAACATGAAGGGAAAAAAAAACAACAACAACAAAGCGTGAGGAGCAATAAAAGCTCGGCCCGAGACCTGGAAGCTTCGAGAGCGACACTTTCAGGACCATCCAGGACCTTCGGATAACAAAACAGAAAATGCACAAATGCGCTGCTTGGGTGGGCGCAGAACGCTCAGTTCTTCTTTGTGTCAAAGTGGTGGTTTTGTCCTGACCCCCCCCCCCC